TTAATTTCTTCGAAAATTTATTTGGTACCTCTGTTGAAGGGGTTCCTTCTATTGATTCTGCTATAGTTAAAAGAGGAAGGTTACTTTCAAATGAGGAGAGCTTAAGATTGTGTAGGCCCTTTAATGAAGAGGAGATTAAGGATGCCCTTTTTACTATACCTGACAGTAAATCACCTGGGCCTAATGGTTTTACTTCAAGTTTTTTCAAAGCAGCTTGGGGGATTGTTAAGGTAGATTTTGTTGCAGCAGTATTAAATTTTTTTCATAGTGGGAAGCTACTTGGGCAGGTTAATGCTACCAATATTAGTGTTGTTCCCAAGACAAATTGTCCTAATACTGTGGGTGACTTTAGACATATTTTGTGTTGTAATGTTACTTATAAGGTAATTACAAAGTTGATAGCTCAGAGGATGACTGAGGTACTGAAATTTCTAGTTAGTGATAATCAAGCTGCTTTTGTGAATGGGAGATCTATCACAACAAACATCCTTGTTTGTCAGGATCTAGTCAGGAATTATCATAGAAGTGGGGGTTCCCCTAGATGTTTGATGAAGATTGACTTGAGGAAAGCTTATGATACAGTGCATTGGGGTTTTTTTGGAGAGTTTGTTAATTGAACTACAATTTCCTCTTAAGTTTGTAAGATGGATCATGGTATGTGTGAGTTCAGCTAGATTTTCTGTGGTATTAAATGGGCAACCTTATGGTTTTTTTCAAGGGAAAAGAGGACTGAGGCAAGGTGATCCAATGTCCCCCTATCTCTTTGTACTTGTAATGGAATATTTGACAAGAATATTGCAAGAGTTAGAGGGAAATAAGGATTTTCAATATCATAGTAGGTGCAGGAAGTTAAAGTTGACGCACTTAATTTTTGCTGATGATGTGATGATTTTTTGCAAAGTTGATAAGGCTTCTCCTCTTATTATTAGAAGTTTGTTTGATAAATTCTCTATGGCTACTGGACTCGCTATTAATAGCTCAAAAAGCCAAATGTTTTTTGGAGGTGTGTCAGATGGATTGAAAGGGCATATTCTAAATCAAATAGGGTTCAGTGAAAGGCAATTACCTGTGAAATATTTGGGTCTGCCCCTTATTTCCACAAAGCTTTCTGCTATTACATGCCAGCTAGTGGTGGATAAAATTAGACATCGTATCTGTTCCTGGACTTCCAAATTTCTTTCTTACGCTGGCAGAATTCAATTGGTGAACTCTGTATTGTTTCATATCCAAGTTTTTTGGAGTGGAGCTCTCTTGCTACCAAAGAAAGTTATTAAGAGTATTGATGCTGCTTTTAGGAATTTTGTTTGGACAGGAAAGTGGGATCAATCAGCAATGGCACTTGTGGCTTGGTCAGATATTTGTGTTCTTAAAACTGAGGGAGGCTTAGGAGTTAAACAGTTAGCTAGTTGGAATCGAGCTGCTTTGTGCAAATATATTTGGCTAATTTGTAAAAAGCAACAAGACCTTTGGGTACAATGGGCTCAAGTAGTTCTACTAAAGGGGGAAAGCATATGGAAAGTAAAGTTACCAAATGATTGTTCCTGGTCTTGGAAGCAGATTTTGAAGATGAGAACTAGTATTAAAGACCAAGTTTGGGTTCAAATTGGGGATGGTAGGCAGACATCTCTTTTTTATGATCTGTGGTTGGAAGGTGGAAGAATATGCGGTCGGGTACAAGTTAGAGAAGAGTTGATGGCATGGGGGCATGGCAGTGTTGTGGCTAAATGGTGGAATGCTGGAGCCTGGCATATGCCGGACAGTTTTGTTCGTAAGTACCCTTCCCTTGCCCAGTTAATATCATCTAAAAGTCTCCAAGATAGGGAGGACAAGGTCATGTGGAGGCCTACTGTATCTGGTTGCTTTTCTATTGCTAGTTGCTATAATTTGTTGAGAGTTAAGCAACCAAAAGTTAATTGGCATAGGCTAGTTTGGTCAAGTGGAAATTTTCCTCGGCATAGTTTTATTCTATGGTTGGTTGTACGTGGTAGATTGAAGACTAAAGTCTTCTTGGCATCCAGGGGTATGATCATTGATCTAGAATGCTGTTTTTGTGGGGTAAGTATGGAAAATATTGAGCATCTTTTTTTCCAGTGTGAATTTCCCAAAAGTGTTTGGAAGTTTGTCTTGGGTTTTTTTCAAATTAAGAGGGAACCTTTGTCTTGGACAAATGAATGGAGATGGATGCTATGACATGGAAGAGGAAGAGCTATTATTAAGAGGAAGCTCCGTGCTGCACTAGCTGCCTCAATATACTACATATGGCAGGAGCGGAATATGCATTTGTTTAAGGATAAGTCAAGTACAGGAGATAACATTAATAGGAGAATTTCTTACTTTTTGAAATTGCAATTTTGAGTATTTAGATGATGTTAACCCCGGGTATGCCTGGGTGATTATTGTGGATATGTGGTTTACATGCAATGGAAAAGCTTGCCTTTTTTCCACAAAAAAAAAAGTATTAATTATATCATTTAACCTATGACTTACGAACATATATTCAATTTTTTTTAATTGGTATTTTTAACATATGCTTTTAAAAGTATACTTATTATATTTTTAAACTTAATGAGTAGTTAAAATATATAAAATTTATTATTAATTTTACATACTACATAAATTATTTTAATTAAAGAATTAGTTAAATAAAATCTTGATTAAAGTAGATATTTACTTACACACTGAGTCTTACAATTACATTAATGATATGTTTGGGAACATGATTTTTAGGGAGTATATTTGAATTTGATCACTTCAAATTCAATATTATTATTTGTTTTCATAAAATAAGTATGTAATTGAATTTAACTCAAATATATGTAATTAAGTTTATCTATTTCATTATTTTATTTCATTATTTTAAAATCTATGTATTTCAAATCCTTTTCAAACCCCATCCCATGTACTTCAAATTTAGATTCATGCATTTCAACTCTCCAAATTCCGATGAAGCTCGACGATGGATAATTTCTCTTCCCCCACCTTTCCTTCCATTGCCCACAATGAACTGAACCTCTAGCTGAGCAAGCTAGTATTCCCCTCTCCAGAAATGGGCGAGCAACAATCCACATGATTAACAACCATCACAACAAACAACTCCTAAGGCATATTGAGCAAAGCAGAGTAGCAGACATGTGCAGCTAAAGTGTCCTAGCAAGGGAAGATTAAACATGTGGATGGATTGGCAATAGGTGTAGATATAAAAGGGTGAGTCTAGTTGAAAGTTTGCAGCAGAGAGCTACTGAAGGGTGGAGGAAGAGTGGGAGGTGGACGTTGAGAAGATGATAAGGAAGGAGTGGCTGGAAAGGGAGACGAAGAGGTGGGTGCCCTTGATCGGATCAAAAGTAAGTGAGAGAGAATATGGTAGATGGGAGTGGGTGTTCGGTTCAAGGACAAGGTAATGGCCGATCAGAAATTTTTTGAAGATTTATATTTGTTCTATTGGTGGGGAATGCTGGATTTTGGAATTGGGGATATTTCTACATTCTGTTTGTTAGTGGATGGGATAAAATAAAAGTTGTTATTTGGCTTGGGCTAGTTACTGAAAATGCAAAGGGAATGTCTTGAAGGGGTTTGTAAAAATTCCTCAATTAATTACTTGAATATCAAATTTATTTTTGTTATATTAATTTAAATATTGAATTTTAAAATATATGTATTTAAAATTACATGTATTTTAAATA